AACAGTCCTATTCAGGACTACGTTCACCTAGACGAACAAACTCAACCTACTCTTGATATACAATAATCATAGTTATTAAGGTACAACAGTCTGTACGACTTATACCAGCTAATAGTAACTAATTGTGAGAATCACGTTTACTTAATATAATTTATAGAAAATAATAGTAACAAATATCAAAAATAGTAATATGTTCCCGCACTAAATTGCATATAAAAATTATTCAGTAACTGTTAGGTGTTATTGCTACATTTTCTTCTATTTTTTTCATTTCCTTCCTCATTAGAATTAACTCCATACCAAGCAGTCCCATAATTTTTTGGAAACATGCTCTCCTACTATTTTCCACTGAGTTTTCTCTNGTTGAGTTTCATCGTCCGGGTGAACGTAGTCCTGAATAGGACTGTTAATTGTTGTTGACAGTGACTGACGTTTCGACAACCTTATGGGTCTGATTGGTCAATTACGTTGCGATGTTATTGGTCGTCTGCCACTTAAGCCGTGATGTTTTTGACGAGATCAAACAAAACTAACTAGGAGAGAACGACTGGAGAACTGACAATTTGACTAACAATATAGACGACTGTTTAACTGTGACAATAGACGGATCGAAACGCACCAATTACCGATTACGAGTTTTCATAGCCAATAAAATCACGGCTTAACTGACAGGCGACCAATAACATCGCAACGAAATTGACCAATCAGACCAATGACCAGAGTACAATACCATCAACTGACGTGATACAACTCACTTTGACTCTGAAGATGACTACCGCACAGGTTGTCGAAACGTCAGTCACTGTCAACAACAACAGTCCTATTCAGGACTACGTTCACCTAGACGAACAAACTCAACCTACTCTTGATATACAATAATCATAGTTATTAAGGTACAACAGTCTGTACGACTTATACCAGCTAATAGTAACTAATTGTGAGAATCACGTTTACTTAATATAATTTATAGAAAATAATAGTAACAAATATCAAAAATAGTAATATGTTCCCGCACTAAATTGCATATAAAAATTATTCAGTAACTGTTAGGTGTTATTGCTACATTTTCTTCTATTTTTTTCATTTCCTTCCTCATTAGAATTAACTCCATACCAAGCAGTCCCATAATTTTTTGGAAACATGCTCTCCTACTATTTTCCACTGAGTTTTCTCTACGCTCTAGTTAGATTAAGTATGTACACTTCTGTCTGGGCGTATGGCTGTCTTTTTAGATAGCACTGAATAGTTGTAAACTCGCCTAACAGCCTATTATAACTAGAGGGTAGTACCTACACAAACTGTATCTTCTCTACCGCAAATCTTTACCGAGCGAGTCTGGGTAAAAGGTAGTTTCGTGAATCTCTTGAGTTATTTTCTTTCTTCGCTTAAGACTTAATTCCCAGTCTTATTTTCTTAAAAATATGCTTTTCTATGGAAACAGCTTTATTTAGCAATGAATGAATGAAGCTGAGTAGGATATGAAGAATTATGCAGATCAAGGAGGGTGTTATCGACCAAGGTCAAACACTGAGGGTGGATAACGCCCTCCGAGATCTGCATGATGCTTATTTTTCATTCAAAATATTTCCCCGATTCTGATTGGCTAAAAGCACACGCATTATTCACCATACCCAGCTCCTGATGACCAAATTTGGAAGAATTTGGCGTTTAATGAACCGATGACGTCAAAAGTGGAGCCTTCTTGCAGGTTAATGCACCGTTAACGAGGGTCGTACAGGGGTATTCCAGTGATGCGTGATTGGCTGATTTTATTTTCCGTGAAAAGTGAATTTAATAAAATATTCTTCGTGATCCGTGATCGGAAGGTTTTGCGTGACCCGTGAAGAACTTGAATTATTAACCGATATTCGTGATTTCACCACTCTAGTTGGCGTGATTTTGAGATGCGAGTGCTCCGGAAGACTTATTTTAAGACTGAAAACATTAAATGTGACAAGTGACAGACTTCGCTTTAATTAAAGTAATCCATTGTGCAAATTCACGTGCTTTACATGCCTATCATGGATCAGATGTCTATTCCTATGCCTATGGTCTCCTATGTCACTGGAGGTCAAAGGACAGTGATCCAAAACATCGAAACATCCGAGACATAGAGGGGACGAGTACGTATAGTACGATGAGGGTCGAATGTATTGTATTTTACGTTGACCCAAAGTCTGTCGGCTCGCTTAATTTTCTTGGAAAGGAACGAGTTCGCTTTCCAATTACAGATGAACATTCATCTTTGGCAGTGTTTACTAAAAAGTTCGCGGAATTTGCCGGATTAAAGGCAGAGGCTGAGAAACGTGGCCTTGGCTCCTGTGTTGAACTTAAATTTTTTCGTCTCGAAAAGGGAAAAGATGGCAGTAAGGCCTTTGCGATAAACACACAAGAGCAATGGGACGAGGAGAGGCCGCTACTATCAGGAAATACATCTTCATTACAAGGTAGGAATTTATTTACTTCTTATTAAACGACATCAAGGACCGTTCTGAAAGATACGGGCCGACTTTTCTATTCTCGGCTTGCACTGTCACGCAATGAAAAATAAAAATGCAAACCATTCAATACAGAAGGACTAGAATCTGGGAAATGAAAAAAGATAAATATACAAAAACCCTTGCCAAGAATCAGGTCTGTGAAATATTTCAGATGCGAGATATTGGGAAAAACGGTTTACCTAAATTTATAAAGCTTTGTATGGAAACGCCATGTCGGTGTCCCTTTCAGGAACACCAATATGGCCGCCGGATACCAACAGAAACATCTGTTTTCTAGTTTTCCTACTGATGCGTGAATTCTTCGCTTGAGGAACTCATAAAGATTACAGCAATATTTATTCTGAGACAAGGAATGTTTAGATTGCAAAATCTCCCAAAATCGGTAATGTTTTTAACCCACATAAGAGCTTTCCCGGCCGCCAGCTAAATGCCGCGTCACGCAAAAGCCTGGAAATTCAAGCGTCCTCTCTCGCAAAACGAAGAACCCTTTCCAACCAAAAATTTGTTTATGTAAAGATGTTTAGGTACTGTAATACCTCGTGAAAGTAGAAACTCAGAAGAATCGACAGTTTCTTAGTTTGATTTTTGGTGAC